TCTGATCTTATTAGGGTCTAATCTACGATGAATCATATTGTCCTGTCTCTGATAACTGATATTTTCATTCTTTTATTTGAAATGGAATAAAAATTTCATCTGTGCGAAATGTCTACACAAAAATCATTGGCATTGTAACAGGAATGGGTTATTTACATGTTTACAAATAGAGATTTTATAAATTGGAAGAGTCCCAGAAAGATCTAACTGGTTAAGAGTACCGAAGAGATTTAATGCTTGGTTTATAGGGATGTTGCAGCGCGTATCTATTGCTTCATCCACTCGTACTTTTTTCTCATGTTAAATTCAAACTCGATTTAACAACGTTAAGCTGTAGCAGAGGAGATAAAAGTCTCCGAAGAGGTAGCGTTAAGTATCAACATAAGATCTGAAGCAACGCCAAACAAATCGAAATCCAACAACAACAGCTCGTCTTGGTATGCACAAATCGATGGACGAGTTTCTGATTCCTCGTAATCTTTGCTTTCTTAACATTCCTATTATTTTTCTTTCACTTAGCAGTGGTCAGCATTTATTTAGCTCAAACTCACGAATTTCGGACACAGTCCACACATACCTCAAACCATGCGCATTTGATGTCAAACATCAAAGTCAAACTGTCAGGAGGCTGAGACCAACTGTTAACAAATGATAAAATTCGACCAGCGCGCGTTCGAATTTTCACTTTCATAGTTTTTTCCGCCCACGGAAATTCGAAGGTTTCTGTTGCGATAATTTAAAGGGGACTTGGCAGGTTACACTGATTTCCGGATCCACGAGGTCGTTCCTGGGATAAGAGAAACAGTTAAGGGCATGATCACATGTCTTAATCTCGAAGGAAAAGATTATCATGAGATTAAAATAGGAAAAGCATGAAAATTGGCGGACACGTGTAATGTTATATCTAAATAAAGGAAACGTTGGATTATCTGAAGATCTATGTCTCCAATGTTTTATTCAGACTGCAGCGTTTACGCATGGGTAATTCATATGCTATTAGATATCACAATATTCCCTATGGTGCGAAGGGTATTGTGCAGGTTAAAAAACCAAAAACGACAGAATGGTCCATTAGCACTCTGGAATATTTTAGTTTCCTTTCAAGACGGCGGTTGAGAATATATTTTGCTATTGCTTTTCAAATATGAATCTAAGCCAAACGAATATTACTTTGACTACTTTGCGTTTTAACTACCTGATCGTGACAAAATCAGTAATTCATTACAGAGACGTTTGTATCGGCGTTACAGTGAAATTTTTTGCTGCCTTGTTTTATTAAAGCTTTTTTCGACAAGTTGTTAATTGTCCTATCTAAATTTTTTTATCGATCAGTTTTTGTGGATCAGGAAACCGGACAAGAATACCTTCCGGTTTGATGGTGTTGAAGTGTGGTGTTCTGTATGGGTCAGATAGCGTCCCTTCAACGAAGAGCCAATGTCCCGAATGTAACAAGTGGGACAGATAACGATGATGAGAACTGTGAAATGCATCGTTTTTCCAGTCATCCAGGTACAAAGCATATTTTCGGGGTAATAACACATGACGAATTGTTCAGTGGGTGAGAATTATCAGTCGGATAAACCAAATAAGTTTGTTTTTTCGTTTTGCCTGCTTGAAGCAACACACTGCAATAGAATTAATGCAATATATTATTTAATAACATCCTCCTTAATTTTAATGTATTATTTGTAGACTTACATCCATCCACCTTTTAGTGTGGTAAGGAGGTTTGCTGACGTTAAGCAAGAGTGTTTGAATTTAATTTATGAGACGTACTGTTCTGTTCTCTCACGATTGTGCAGTTTTCGTCTGGAAACACTACAACGATATTTATTTGCCCGTTTTAAAATAATGTTCTATGTATGTTGATATATTGGATTTAGAACTTTAAAAAACTCAAAAAATAGAACTACATTTTTCAGGAGCCTTTTTTGGTTCATATTTCTTATTGGGCGGTGAACGATATGATTTGGCAAAACCGGAAGCTTTTTTATTTGGCGAGAATGCGGATTTAGATATGCTTGGCAACAGATCAGTGCAGGTACTTATTTAGTAGAAATATGAACTTGTCCAAAACCTTTTCTAAGTTTTTATTAAAAAACTCTTTTATTGTTCCTTTTATTTCTCTCTCTAGGGACACACTGTAAATTTATTTTTTTCTTTAGTTTCCATATTCGAGCCAACCAGTGAATGATCCAGTGAGGACTTTAAATGCTTTAATCAATCTTCGCCGAGATTCGTTAAAACTAACAAAGTGAGTGAATCAAAGTATCTCATGTTAGCTTTCGTTAATGGTTGTCAATGAAAAAATGTACAGGTGACGTGAAGTCGGGCATCGCTGCCTGAGAACTTTTTGCCATATCATTGCGTATGTGTTTGCTTATCTGCTATGTGACGGAGAGGGTTTGTAATCTGTATTTTATGAAACACAGGTAAATGAAAGGAAGAAAATGAAATAACTGGTCAAGATTAACAAGAAAAATGAGTAGATAAAACTGTAGATTTCTTATGATTTCTATGAAAATACCTGAAAGTTTTTATCAACATATCTAGAAATTTGAAAATATTACTGCTTCTGAAATTTATGCTTTTCTTCTATTAGAAGCAAAAACGACGCATCAGAGAACAAGAATTTGTTCCGCTTGGAATTCTATTTCGACTGTGACAGTGCTTGTTATGTACAAATTCATTTCTTTGCAAAGGAATTTGTTAACGATGGACGTATAAGGTATGTGTTTCCAAAAACTGATTGAAGTTTAGCTATTCTTTGAGGGTAGTTTCTTTGCAGAACATGATATCGATTCCCTATGGATGATACCTCCAAACGTTTTCAGTATCTGTCGCTGTGGGTGCGAAAAATTCTTAGTGTCTTCGAGTCATGTAGATTAACATACTAGAATATAAAGTTCTATTTATTACAACAAACTATAATATTGTCATTATAATTATATTTTTTGCAACTGCCGCTGTTATTATCATTCAGCATCAAACATCAATAATCGATGTTTCCAATAGAAAATATAGCAATTAAATTAAATGTTTCGCTGTCAATTTCTAATGCGTTTGCTTGCTTATAGATTTGTGCACAAGCATTCTCAGTTGAAGTCATCTGAGCAATATTATTTTGATGTTGGTGCAGAACAGCATTTCAACAAATTCGTAATGGACACTAGTGTATATGACCTTAGTTCCGTACGTCTTTGTATGCTTTATGTTTTTGTATTAAACACAGACGTTAGCATAAATCATTTGGAGCTTTGGAATCCTTTCTGAGTAAAAGTGTGATTGATATCCATAATTGTTCTAAATGCACAACCGTTTCTTTTCCTGATATAACATCCACAAATGGGCGCAGTTGCGTCATGAAAAATTTGAATTTTTTCAGATGCATTATGATAGCGGATCTTACTTTCCTGTTGTTATCGAAATTCGTGCCGTTGATTGTGGTATTGAACAGATGCAATCGACAATGGCTAGCATCGAACACGCAACCGATCAGTGTGCGACATTTGTTATAAAGGCGCTCAAGCAAAAACTAGTGAATGTTTGATTCAAGTTTTGCTTATAGATAATCTACAATCCTGCTAATTTAAGTCATCTCCATTAAGTAGGACCATAAAACCCTCGCTAACGGCATTTATGACTGAAAATCGAATGCTCGAATGAGCGTTAAATATCTAACTCTTAACTCTCTGCCGATTGGAGACTGACTGTTCGGAACCTCCAATATTAACTGAGCATTCAGTTGTCTTTGATTTCTTATGACCTTGAAGGAATATCCTTCTTTATATTTCAACATTATTCAACCATGCGATAAGGTTAACACGTCGCTTTGGATGAGAATCAGTTCACTGTATTGAAGCTAATATTAAAGTACTGAAACAAGATCAATTTGTAGGTAGCTGATGGTGTAGTATACTTATTGCAAGAAATTTACGGAATTGAGAATAAGGAACACGATTTTGGTGATGAAAATGGATCCGAATGCATAATCTGTATGTCCGATATTCGTGACACTGTTATCCTTCCATGTCGGCATTTATGTATTTGTAATGGATGCGCGGAAACACTAAGGTATAAGGTCAGTTTTTTTCCAATTTTTCATCCTTTCAAAAGTATTTTCACCAATACTGAAAAAAACTGGCTTAAACATCTTTTGTTATTCAATTTTTATCATCATATGTGAATGTCGTGAAATCTTGAGTCTTTTCTTTAAGGATATCCAAACTTTTTTTTTGTATTTTCACACCAGAAAAAACTCTGTATGACTTATTCCCATCTCCGTTGACGAATCCTACTGAATTTATTACATTAAATTTCAGTTAAATAATTGCCCCATTTGTCGTTCACCATTCCGTGCACTACTACAGTTGAAGACGATGCGTGTTGTTAGTACGGTTTCAATAACTGATCAATCACCATCTTCGCAACAAACTCGTTCACAAACTAGGTACCGCTTGTATATTGTATGTTCATCCATTGTCACTTTTAAAAAATTTGTGCATTCCGCTTTTTTTAAAAGTAGTTTACCAACATTTTTATCTAAGATTTAGACCGTAGATGTTTTCCCCTAGAAATTATTTTGAAACTGTCCCATGTTAGCGAAAATTTTTTCCAGAATTATAAATGCGGACCTATTGTCCTTTAAGATATGAAACGATGACGTTAGTAGAAGCACTAAATGGACCGATCAGCCACATACAGTCCTGTGTAGTACCAACTGCTCCATCTGGTTACAACATCGATTCTCCCCATGAAGTTTCTGCATCTCTTAATTCAAAAGTTACAAGACGCTCTTCACGATCTTCAGTCGCTATACAACAGGTTATAATTTGTTTTCCTTTCGGTTCTCAAGGAAGAATTTTGGTTACCAATCATCGTAGAGGATTAGATGCTCACTACTGTTTTGTGATGAGATTGAAAAACTTGAACAGAACATAACTCTTTGGTAAACGAGTACCGTCAACAATCGACTTCGTAAATATATTTCGAATAAATCGCTTATGCTGTTACTATTTTACTTCGGTGTAAAATTGCACCGTATACTTTTCCATTGCAGGTACTCACGTTGAACAATCAGGGCCGAAACAAGAAGGATAACACTGTTTGTATAGAAATGAAATCAGCCGATGAATTTAAGAATGTAAGTTAGCTAATTTTCAAATAATCTTCAGGTAATTTTCCTCTGGAATAAGAGTACGCCTACCGTCCCACTCATCACTGAAGATCTGTAAGAATCCTTTCCGATCTGGTTACAATGTGATCCGAACTAAGAAATTAAAACAGGAAGCATTGTGTGACTTCATAGGCTTCGAAAATTCTTAAGACGCTTTTGTGCCTCTCAATTTAATATCAGAAAGTTCTGAGACTTCAGGAAGAGGAAATTTCAAATGGCTGTTCGACTAGTCGTTGTCCTGATTCCCCGTCCAATATTACATCTTCATCGCTTCCCTCGCATGGTCGACGTTATAAGAAACAGCAGACTGTGTCACCGCAGCATAACCGGAAAGCACCCATTGAAAATGTTGTTGCTCAAGAAAATGCGCCGATTGAACTTGCCAAAAATTCTGATGACATTGCCACAGCAAAGGATTCATAATCCTAATCTTACCTGCTGAAAATTCATTAATGCACTCCCTCTACACCTTTGTTTTACACTTCATACTTTTTTTCTACATATGTGGCTTTTTATGTTGCTATACTGCTGCTAAATCATAATTGCCATTTCGTCTTTTTGTTCTTTTTCTGTTTCTTTTTCCATCTCAACAATGTTCTTTTTCAGAAAGCAATTTGAAAAGTCCTACTAAGTCATGCATTTATGTAAATGGTTGAAATTGCACTTGTACTAGTGTTGTCTCCTTATCTCGTCGCGTTTCTTTCCATTCTTCTCCTTTGTGATATGTCGCAAACAATAAAAAGGTGCACTACTTTGAAAGTTTTATCAGTCTCATCCTTATGGTTTAAATGACGAACTCTTAGCTTTTCCTAGACTGCGTAAGTCCACGCAATCCCCGTTTCTGACAACAAAGACTGTAGTAAATAGCTTGGAAATATATTATACCACTGATCGCAACTTCCAGTGGAGTCAACCGAGTTCGGAAATCCAAGAAACAAAAAAGAACATTGTCGAACTAATAGCACCTAACGGGTCTCCGGCTTGCTTTTGAATTTTTTCGAATGCTTTCTACTAGTAGTAAGATGCTCAATTAATTCCTTTTGTTTAACGATCTTTCCATGACTCTGCATGTATTCGATAAGGGACTGCAAATGTTTTGCATGCTTCATCATTGTTACATTACCCACCAGGACGAACTGCCGACGAGCTCTCGTCACGGCAACATTGAAGCGTCGTTCATCTTTCAGAAATCCAATTCGACCTGTAAAAAAAAAACATCTAAGTTTTTGGGGAGAAAGCTGATAAGTTGATCAAAAATATATTTGTCGAAACTGGGAATAAAGTTTAAATATATTGGAAATGAAATTTGAATTTCTTAATGAAAATAAGTTCTGATTTGTTTAATTAAATATAAAGTGCATGTAAAGAAAACAATACCATCGCTATTATTTCTGACCAATGACATAACGATTACTTCACATTCCTGACCTTGGAAGGCGTCCACACTGTTCACTCTACTAGTTTTTAATGATTTCTTCAACATGTCCACCTGAAAATGGTTTTTGTCGCAATGAGGTGTCAAGAATGGTTCCTATTTATGTAGTTTTATTCCTGAGGGGTCGATCGAGTCGTTCACAAAGAATTACATGATATTTTAATCCATGTTATGTAAAAATTAGAAACGTATATAATCATACAAAAATATATTTATTCAAACCTGTGCAACATACGGTGCTATGATACCAATGTCTTCCTCTTGCACACCAAATATGCTCAATGCAGTAACATATTTGATGATTAATTTCGCTTCCACTGTAAATGAATTATATTTAAGTCCTTCCCGAAATATCGACAAACATGTAGTGTTCTATAAATAGACCTCAAATTAATGCGAAGATAATCAATTCTCGATATTCAGGAATGATTTTGAAAAAAATTTCTATAAAAATTTACGCGCATTTGCGTACGAGTATCGATATAGTTTTTCTTTACTGTCTATCGATTTATCATGGCTTGTGTCAATGAATATCATCGGTTCATCGAATAAACTTCCTTTAGGCACTTCACTTATATCACTGAAACGTATTAAGGAACATAGATTCTGGAGGTTCTCATTAACAACTCGCAAAAATTTAACTTCAATAGACCAATTTGTTATGTAACCTAGTCCACAAGTTAAATTATGCATTTTCATAAAGTATACGGAGCAAGTGTTACCAAATTGATTTACCTTAAAAGTTGGTCAGCAATATGTTCATTTGGGCGCAACTTTGACTTGTAAAAAAATGAAGAAGGCCATCTGAAAGAGGAAATTTCTTATTTAAATGTTTAACAAAATAAATTCTCATTATTATTAAAAACCACAAATAACTTCCTGCTTCTTCAATAAATATGTAACTAACTCCATAATTTTCTTATTCATACGATATTGCTCTGTTAGCATGAACGAATTAGCTTCACCAAATCTCTTCAATAAAGTATCCATTAATGAGCTATTTATATCATCCTCTTCCGATAATCTTAAAATACTTGAAATTCTTTAAAAAAATTGATAATTATCTTCCAATAAAAAAATGATAAAACAGAACTGGGGAATTATAAACTATACGGGAGGAGAACCAAACTAAGCTGTTTTCTTTGCTCCGATAATATAACTAAATTACATTCCTCAAGGCAAGCATTCCGGACTGAGCCATAAGTAAACTAAACACCTTTATAAATTCTTATAGTGCGCAACATGATGAACGATTTATTTAATAAATTCTAGAATTAAATCATAGGGAGAACTGTTGTGATTTCATGAAAGAATTTCAGTTGACAATGTCTTTACTAGTCTTGTCAGAAATGGCTTAAAAAATTCAAAAATTGAATTAAAGATCAGACTGCACCGTGAAGTTTTCAAAACCGGTGGTAACTGCCATGGATCACCAACAATTACAGCCCTTGGAGATAAAAGCAATGAGTACCATGCAACACATTCCAAAGCTTGTGCAGCTTCATCAATTACTGTCAAATTTGGTTGAAAACCCTGTCCATGAAGGAACCGAAGTGAGTTATTTGTTAATGTGCATACAATCACTTGTTTACAACTTACAATGCTCTGAAAAATTCGAAGAACCATAAGTTACTGAAATAAAAACTGAACAATTTTAAATATTTTTAAATTTTCCGGTTATAAGAATCAATTTTCCTAAATTCACAATATTTCGATGGCCGAAATACCAAGAACGAAGATGCATGAAAATATCAATGAATCTACTACATTTAAATACTAGTTCAAGAAAAACCCACTTTCTTCCAACATTTTGTCTATTATAAAATTAAGATTTCTACTCTGACCTTGCATTTCTGAGAATTTGTCGAGCATCCTAAATCATACAAAGTACAGGAGGAAGCAAAACCAACATTTCTACCTCTTTTAATTGCCATAACATCTTAATGGCATCATGCCAAGTTTTTTTATTTACACCACGATTATTTTCGGATATTCCATTACCTTTTCCTGAATCCTGCAAATTTTAACACTGCTGCCTTAATCTATCACTTGAAAAGAGATTTAAAAAACTAACAAAAATGGAAATTTAATGAAATTGTCTTATCATCGCTTTGCGTAGTGACGAAGCTCAATCAGCTACTTAATTACATCTTCCTTCATTCTTGATTGCAAGATTGTGATTTTTTCAAAAATATTTGTGAGCTTTTTTTCGATTTATTTTTATGACTTAGTCAACAGTATAAGCTTATAAAATCAGACCAATTTTTCGAAAGCACATTGTATATCAATGAATTTGTCATGTTGCTCCAATTCATTGGCCAATGATAGCTCTGAATTAAACCCCAGTGCACATACTCCTGCCAAGTCCTTTAATCGACTCACAATATTGTTTACTGCAACATTTGAGGGAGCACAAATAAGTACCTGCAAATCGAAGTAAGGGATGGTGAATTTTATCATTATATTAGGACAAAGGAAAGCTGAATTCATCTCGCAAGGATGAAAAACTTCATGAATGGACGCAGTGATAAATGTGAAGGAGATTTTTTTATAATTAACAAGGAAGGTGGCCGACGAAACCTATTTAGAAACGAACTTCGTTATTTAGTCAATATATAATTATGTGATTTCGATGATTTTAGGATTGAAAACGATAGATTCGTCGCCATTTGTAAGGATGAGTCCATTCATAAAACTACTATTCCAAATATTAATTCAACCAAAAAATCCCGTGCCCGTCATTTTAATTTTTGATTCCTCGAAAAAGCTACAAGCTAAATCTTAGCCTCAAATGTTTTGAAGTCTGTTCAAAGTAAAAAGCAAGCACATAGCCGAGATAACTATTCTCCTTCTAGAAAGAATTTTGAGAAAAAAAAATTATTTAAATATACCTTTTGTTTCCTACTGACAGCTTCCATCACAATCTCCGCAATAACAGCCGTCTTTCCTGTACCAGGTGGACCATTAATGGTCACAATTGGTCGGCTTTTATTTAATGCAGCAGCTACAGCACGTCTTTGGTCTTCATTGAGTCTAACTGCTTTTTTGGAAATTTCATCTAAGTAAGATGTCATTAATACTATCGTTTTCCTAAGTTTCAGCAATGTTGAATCAAAACAAAGGAAAATGATTCTTATACCAACACGACTGCTGTGATCATGATAGCAGGCACAGAATTGTCTTGCTTATCAGTTTTTGACATAACAGTTGAATCTCTTTTAAATTAAAGTGCATAAATTTCTTAAAATAATGTTTAACATAAATATTTCATCCTTTAATGTGTTTGCGTCGAGAAATTTCTATTATCACTAAATGCTATTTAATGTTTCTACATCTACATCGTCTGAACCGAGAACTAAATTTGAGAAAAATCCCTCGAAATGAAAGTACGATTACTAAAATTCAATTACCTGGTCTTGATGTCGGTAAAGGTGCACTACAATGAACATAATGGATCAATTTTTCGCCCGGGAAATCTCTCCATTTCAATTCCTAAGTTAGGAAAAATTTTCATAACCGGCAATTACTGTAGCATATATTTGATGTTTTATGAAAGCATGAAATAGTACTCTGTATTCTCAAATGCTATAATAAATTACATAACGACCAAAGTTTTTTCTTTATACTATTATTAGTGGGTGATGTAATAAGTAATTACGATACTAGGATTAACATTAGAACCAATACAATTCTTCAGATAAATAAATCTTTTTTAACGTGACTTTAAGCTTTAAAATTTTTTAATATAACAAAAAATTCGTTACATTAGCAAAATCTAATAATACATAGGCCACAAACTTACCAGAAATTCATCTAAAGCTATCAGATATCCCAGGCCAACAGATGGTAATAGTACAAATTCATCAGAAGAACTAATATTCACTTCTTTTTTTTCTTTTGTCTTCAGATTCACTTCGTTTTCAGAGCATGAAATTACAGTACAATCGCTAACGCTTACAAGCTCGGGAATTCGGCACAACAACACAGGCGTGCCTACAAATGAGATCAAATGAGATCTTCCTGAAAATTCCAAAACTTTCTCTTCGAAGCCAAGAACTGCGAAATTTGAAGCTGAACAGAAGTGAAACCTGGACGGAAAGTTTTTTTCGTGATTTTCTGCTCTATTCCTTTTATTTGGTGTAAGACGAGGACGCGTCCGTGCAACGCATGTAAATACTGAGTTTGGAAACGAAGTGCTTCCGAAACTTGCCCAAGTTTTTCCAACTCGTCAACCGACGGATTGAGCAAAAGATCCCTATAAAATGGAAATTTCGAAATAACTTGGATGTAATACCCCGAAAATCGTTATCCATTAGCAGGAAAACTAGAGAAAAAACCAACCAGACATGAATAAAAACGTACCGGATTTCTTTGACACCGGAGGCAACTTCATTTTTTAGTAATTCTTTCCACCGATTAACCTTTTCATGAAAATCGGAGTGTAAAGCGACATTTTTCGTGCGCTTCTGCGGTTTTTTTCTATGTCCAGGATTTCTGAAAAAATGGTCGGATATGAAATTTCAGATGTTTGTATTTCTCAAAAAACTTTGAAGTCTCATTAGGAAGGGGATACTGGCGCTCGAATAGAGTGGATGTGCACATCGTATAGCCAGCGATATATTAAAGATAAAGATTGGAAAGTCTCAGGATAGAAATTGGTGAGCCTAAAAGCCTCCTATATTTGCTGTTTAAGCATGATAAAAATATCTTTCTGTATTAGTAAGAGATCAATACCCTGTATGTTTCTTTCTCATGAAGTTTTGATGAAGAGAAGAGCAGTTTCCCAATTTACCATTCTGAACCAGATTACCGAAATTCTCAGTGCATCCATAAAGCAAACACGTTTTCAATCGGAATACAGCATGCCGAAACATCGACTATCAAGCTGCTAAAAATCGCACCTACTAATAAACAAATATCATGCCAGATTTCCTATGACTTTTGTTGTTCTCGCAAAGTTAAAATCTTCCGCTAACTAAAAATCCAAAATATATTCAACTTAAGAAAAAAAAAAACAAAGAATCCTACGGTGATATATGATAGGGTCCCCGGGAAGATACATACCGCTGACGGGCCTATTTCGTTTCATGGTGGGGTGATTGAAAGTTTTAAGCAGTTGATCAAACTTTTTGGAAGCGAAAGTTAAAGGCCTGCAACCTTTAACCCCACAATAAGCACAACTTGCAGTTTTTTATGATACGATAGAGGAGAAATAGGTGATGAAGTGGTCATTCTTCTCTATTCTGTAACACGCAAACTTACGGCATCTTTGCAAACTGAAATTGTGATATTTTTAAAATTTAATCACTGCAAATGATAAATTGAATTTTGTAAAGATTTTAAGAGAGAGATGAAAAATTCAACTTTTCTAAGTGTAAAAAAAATTGTAGCATCGATAGTGTAATGCTATTCCAAATTCATTTTCACTTTTTCCACATATCTTATAATGTTCCGTCACAAATGTATAATATTTAAGCGATTTTCAATAAATCGAAATGTTCATATCTCTCATTTCATGCTCATTCATAGCATTATCTCATCTTTATTAATATAATTATTGTTTCTCTTTTAGCAGATTAATTAACGAATTATGGATGATAGGTAAGAATCTCGGTATCATCTATATTTCAAGTGAAATGGAAAAAATTTCTCGATCTTTTTTCATACATAAAATTTAATTGCACTCATTTTAATGATACCATGTTGTAAATAACCGAGCAAAAAGACTTCTTGACCTTTTTTATACATTAAATTTAATTGCGCTTACTTCAATGATACCATGCTGTAAATAACCAAGCAAAAACACTTCGTTATAATATATTACTCATTTCAGTATTATTACGAATAATTCGATTTTGCATTTTTCATATAATCATGAATGGATAAATAATTATCGTTATATTGGAATGATCGATGAGTAACAATTGAATTTCTTGATCAATTTTTTTTCATTCTTAAAAATGATTTCCTGAATGTAAACAGATCATTTAATAATTACATTTACCTTAGATGTTTTACTTTAGTATCGAACTTTATCGATGAATTATTCTAGTTTAAAATGAAGTAAGAAATAGGAATAAAAAAACAATTTATCATATTACTTCGATTTGATAAGTTAAACTTATATACATTAACTTATTACAGATATATTTCATTGTTTCATTTTTAGTTTAATTTATATTACAAATTTTAATTGTTCATTTTTCAAATTTCTGTTTTGAAAGAAAAATCATTCTGTGATATTTTGTTATTCTTTTATTTTTTATCCATTTATTATTAACATTTCGATTACTAATTGAGCGATTTTCTTTCATCATTTTCTATTAATTTTTCTTTAATATCGCCATTGCAAACATTAAAACTGTCATTGTTTCAATTAAGCATTACTTAAAAGTTATCATTATCACAAAAAATTGCATTACTTAAAACTTATCACTATTACAAGAAAAGATAGCTAACTTTTATTGCATTACTTAAAAGTTATCATTATCACAAAAAAGATAGCCAACTTTTGTTGCATTATTCAAAAGTTATCATTATCACAAAAAATTGCACTACTTAAAAATTATCATTATCACAAAAAATTGCACTACTTAAAAATTATCATTATCACAAAAAATTGCATTACTCAAAAGTTATCATTGTCACAAAAAAAGA